GAGGCGGTGGCTGGCGGAGCCACCTATAAGGACGCCCTGGCCAAGGTCAAGGCGTCCGTAAACATGCAGGAGCTGGGCATCGGCCCGTCGAAGTTCCGGACGACGGTGACGGGAGTGAGAATCATAGAGCTCCCGTCCGGAACGACGACTGCTCAGGCCGATGCATTGGCGGCCAAGGCGGGCGAGGCCCTTGGCGAGGCTGCCAAGGTCACCCGCCCTACAAAATCGGCGGATATCCGGGTGTCGGGTCTCGATGACACCGTGACACCCGAGGAAGTCCGCGCGGCCCTGGCCCAAAAAGCCGGCTGCCCCCCCGAAACCATCAGGGTGGGGGCAATATCCGCCGGCGTCAGGGGGATCGGCTCCGCCATCGCCTCCTGCCCAGTGGAGGCCGTGGGCAGTCTGGTGAAGGATGGGAGGCTGGAGGTGGGATGGAGTGCGGCGACGGTCCGGCTCCTGGAGCCACGCCCCATGAGGTGCCACAGGTGCCTGGCACTGGGGCACCCGGGAGCCATGTGCCCCTCCAACAAAGACCGCAGCGGTCTATGTTATCGCTGCGGCAAAGAGGGGCACGTAGCCAAGGCCTGCAAGGCCCCACCGCACTGCGCGTTGTGTGCCGACAAGGGCCTGCCAGCCGGGCACCGAATGGCGGGGGCCAGTTGCAAGCCCCCTCCCGTCAAGGGCCGCCTGCCGAAACCGGCAGCGGCTCCTGGTGCCGCACCAGAGGCGGCCCCCCGCGCCACGCCAGAGGCGACCCCAGCGGTGACTCCAATGTCCGTCAACGATGCCCAGTAGGACATTGGGGAAACTGCTCCAGGCCAACCTTAACCACTCCGCCGGGGCACAGGATCTCTTGTGCCAGACGATGGCGGAGTGGGGGGTCGACCTTGCGGTGGTCTCCGAGCCGTACCGTATCCCCCCGTCCGACAAGTGGATGGGGGCTACGGATGGCTCCGCTGCCATCGTGGCGGCAAGTGCGGGCCCTTCCCCGGTGCTGGTGGAGAGGGGGGAGGGTTATGTGGCGGCACGATGGGGAGAGGTGATGGTGGTATCCACCTACTTCTCCCCCAACCGCAGCAGGGCCGATTTTGAACGGTTCCTCGCTGCGGTGGAAGGGGTCGTGCACCGCGCGGCCCCTCGTCAGGTGCTGGTGGCCGGGGACCTCAACGCGAAATCGACCGCGTGGGGGTCCCGCCGCACTGACGTCAGGGGTGGTGTTCTGGAGGCCTGGGTGTTTGCCCTGGGTCTCCAAATCCTCAACCGAGGAACCACCCCTACCTGCGTCCGGTGGCAGGGCACGTCACTCATTGACGTGTCCTTCGCCACCCCGCCGCTCGCGGCCCGTATCCGGGGCTGGCGGGTAGAGGCGGACGTGGAGACCCTATCGGACCATCGATACGTCCGATACGAGGTCTCCACAGCATCCCCAGGGGCCCCGGTGGGCCCCCGTGCGGGCGGCTCGCCGTTCAAACGGTGGGCGCTCGCACGCCTCCAGCCGGATGTGGCGGAGGAGGCGGCGACGGTGCGGGCCTGGGCAGGGGTCCCTGACGCCGTCACGGGGGATGCCGACGGCATGGCGGACCTTTTCGCGGACGACATCAACGTCGTCTGCAGCGCCGCCATGCCGAGGGCGCGGGTTGGCCCACGGAGGAGTGGGCAGGCATACTGGTGGACGCAGGAGCTCACGATCCTGCGTACCGCCAGTATGGGGGCCAGGCGCGCCTACCAACGATGCCGTAGGCGTGCCAGACGAGCGCCCGGCGAAGAGGAGGTCCTCCGCCGGGCGTACAACGAGGCCCACACGGCCCTGCGTATTGCCATCTGCAGGGCCAAGGTCGCTGCCTGGGATGATTTCCTAGCCATCCTGGACAGCGACCCCTGGGGGAGGCCGTACCGGATGGTGAGGGGGAAGTTCGCTTCGGCGGCCCCCTCCACGTCCGATATGGAGCCCGCGCTGCTGAGCAGGGTGCTGGGGACACTTTTCCCAGACCCCGGGCCCTTCGAACCCCCCAGGATGCCCCCCGGTTCTGCTCCGGGGGCGTGGGCTGTTGGCCCCCCCGTGTCTGATGCAGAACTCGACACGGTGAGGGACCGGCTCCGGAGCCGCAATAAAGCTCCGGGGCCGGACGGGGCCCCGGCCAAGGTAATGGCTATTGCCTTGGGCCCCCTGCGAGAGCGATTCCGTGCGGTGCTGGATGCATGCATCGCGACGGGTCGCTTTCCCAGGCGCTGGAGAGTGGGGCGGCTCTGCCTTCTCCGCAAGGAAGGCCGCCCGGCGGACTCCCCAGCGGGCTACCGGCCGGTGGTGTTGCTCGATGAGTCCGGGAAGGCTTTTGAGAAGATTCTCGCCTCCCGGATCATCGAGCACATCGAGGGTGACGGGCCGGACCTGGCGGAATGCCAGTACGGGTTCCGAACCGGCCGGTCCACGATGGACGCGGTTGGCCGTCTAAAGAGGTGGACTGAGACGGCCACAGCTCGGGGGGAGGTGGTGATCGCGGTGTCCTTGGACATCGCGAACGCGTTCAACACCATCCCCCACGAGTGCATAGAGGCGGCGCTCGAGTTCCACCGAGTGCCACTCTACCTCCGCACCCTCGTCCGGGACTACCTGCGAGACAGGTCAGTCCTGTACGAGGATGCGGAGGGCCGCGTCCAGTCGTGGCCAGTGAAGGCAGGCGTACCCCAGGGTTCCGTATTAGGTCCCCTCCTATGGAACCTGGGGTACAACTGGGTCCTGCGGGGTGAGCTCCTGCCGCGCATGGACGTCGTCTGCTTTGCGGACGACACCCTTGTAGCGGCGAGAGCGAGGGGGTGGGAGGAGGCGGTCCACCTTGCGTCGGTCGGCACCTCTATGGTCGTCCGACGCATCCGCCTCCTGGGACTGGAAGTGGCCCTCGAAAAGACGAGGGCCATGGCCTTCCACGGTCCCAGATGCAGGACCCCGCCGGGGCTCCGTGCCCGGGTAGAGGGGGTGTGGGTTCCGGTCGAGACGCATCTCAAGTATCTCGGCCTGACCCTAGACCCCCGATGGAGCTGGGAGGAGCACTTCAGGCTCCTCGCTCCCCGGCTGTGCGGCGTCGCAGCCGGACTCGGTCGCCTCCTCCCCAATGTGGGGGGGCCGAAGGCGAAGTGCCGTCGGCTTTATCACTCCGTGATAAAGTCGATGGCGCTGTACGGGGCCCCGGTCTGGGCGGAGTGCCTCTCGTCCCGCACGAGGGCCCTCCTGCGAAGACCGCAGAGGGTCATAGCGACCCGGGCCGTGCGGGCTTACCGCACGGTCAGCCACGGGGCTGCCTGCGTCCTAGCAGGCACGCTCCCGTGGGAGATTGATGCCCTGGTACTGTCCCAGGTGCATCAACACCGGGTCGCGGCGAGAGAGCGGGGCGAGCGACCCGTTCTAGAGGAGATAGAACGGGTCCGCACCGAGGCGCAGAGGGAGGCTCTGCGCCGATGGGTGGAGGCACTCGCCAACCCAGCCGCTGGCCACCGGACGATCGAGGCGATTCGTCCGGTGTTGGAGGAGTGGGTAGGGCGCCAGCGGGGCACCCTCACCTACCGCCTGGTGCAGGTACTGACCGGACATGGGTGCTTCGGTCACTACCTGCACCGAGTCGCCCGTCGGGAGGAGACACCGCGGTGTCATCACTGCGCCTCTCCCGACGACACGGCCGAGCACACGTTGATCGTGTGCCCGGCCTGGCGAAATGAGCGCCGCGATTTGATCGCGGCGCTCGGCGGAGGAGGCCTCACGCTGCCAAGTATGGTAAGAGTCATGCTTGGTAGCGAGAGAGCCTGGAGGGTTGCCGCCTCCTTCTGCGAATCGGTGATGACGCAGAAGGAGGCAGCGGAGAGGGAGCGGGAGGAGGACGCTCTAGCCCCCCCTCTCCGGCGTAGACGGGTGGGCCGAAGAAGGCAGGCAGCGGTGACTGCCGGTCTTCGACGGCCCTAAGGTGGTCTGGGCGCGGCCTGACCAGCCGCGCGTCCTAGGTGCCGCTCCGGCACAGGCCACCACGTCTGGGGACTGCCTAGTACCCTAGCGCAGTCCCCCTGAGGCGCGTCGCCCGGTCCACTCGTTGGGCCGGGCCTGCCCGGGGGCGTGCTCGGAGATGTGGCGCACGCAGGTGCGTCGGCCCCGAGACCGCCCTCATATGGGCGTAGGAGGGTACCGGGGGGTTTTAGTGGAGTAGGATCAGTGTGGCCTTCCGCACTGGTCCTGCTTGAGTAGGGTCGGCACTGTTTCCCGTGCCGGCGAGTCCCACACACGCCGTGCGCCTAGTCAGCGTCACGGTATGGTGCGTAACTGCATTTCCCCTCGTCACAAAAAAAAAAAAAAAAAAAAAAAAAAAAGGCTGAGGGTAACAAGGCTCCTAAATAAGAAGTGAACATTTCAGTTTATGTTATTCTGTCCCGTAGAGAATCTGCCCTAAAGCGAACAACTGGTAACTGGCATGGAAAAATATAGATCTTCTGCTTTATATAAAGTTTATATGAAAAATAAACAGGTTTGCCCTGTTTATTTTTAAACATACATTATTTTAAGTTAATGATTCAATTGCTTTTATCATTGAAACGGGATGCAACCTTAGCGCTTTGTTTTTCTATAACACTGATGGCAATGCAATGAACTTTAATAGTTGTACATATGTAATTGTAAAACAAAATATATTATGTTTATATTATTTAAAGAGTATTCAAGGCGTTAGAAACGCTACACTCTATTGGATGGCCCGATTTAAATTACATAGTAAATCGTTAGCAATACGCTAGAAAGCGGAATACGAACGCTTTTGAGGCATATTTGCATGTACGATTATATTGCTAAATGTGCCGTGACACAATGGGAACATATTACGAGTTACACTCTGTGCCAGAGATGTAAATCACTCTAGAGACCATTGTGGAATAAGCGAATTTCAGTACGGATGACGATAATAGCAGCGCTTAGAAATGTCCTACATTCACGTTAATATATAGAAGGATTTTAGGAAAAATAATACAGTGACGTTAATATTTTTATTAATTATCCATTAACAAAAACACTTAAAAAATAAATAACCATATTTAAAAGTATATTATCAAGTAGCAATTTCTAATAAATAACATCTAAAAATATTAATTCCCAAATGTATACATTACACAAAACTAATTACAAAATTTTCACTTAAGTCCTTGCCTTTGTCGAAGCAATAAACTAAAATCTTATAAACAAAAATACAAAATAACATTAACAAAATTATACATAAATGTATAACATTAAAATAATATCTATATGTAAATTAATTTAACAATAATACGTAGAAAATCACTTATTAAAAAAAGTTATCTTTTACTACTGTTTCTTTTGTTTTTTGGGTTTAAAATTTTCTCCATCAGGAACTGGTACTGGCTCTGGTTTAGGAGGTGGAATGGGTGGAAGCTTTCTGTCAGGCCATTTTCTTTTCATGTAATCCACCAACAGTTTAATATCAACTGTCTTTGTTTTACTTGTCCGCGGTCCAGCAAATACTGCCGCAATCTCTTCTAATAGGTCATTATCCAAAAGAGCACAGGACTGCTGCATAGTATAGCAAAACTCTTTAGTCGGCATCAGTTCAATATTATCCTTCAATAGATTCATAGCTACCAGAACTATGTCTACCTTTCGCTTTTTCGGTTTCTTCGCCAATATTTCAGCTCTATTCAGTAGGATTTCTCGCATATCCGCATCTATTATCTTAAATGCTCCAATGACTCCAGCATAAGTGACAACAAGATTCTTTTTCAACTTTGTTTCTTTTATTTGTCTTAAAATATCTAGAAACTCACCATCCACGAACATATTATCCATTAACAGATGTTGTATTTTAACTTGAGGATCTTTAATCTTATTTAACATATTCTTCGCATCTTCTAGTGTCATGGGATTATATGACAGATCAAGTATTACTAGGTTTTTTGCTGTAGTTAAACCCGGTAGGAAATTTGATATACCCTCGTTTGTCAATTTATTGTTGCTTAGATTTAAGTAACGTAGTTTAGGTGCACATAAAATATTTTTGATAGCTGTACCAAAACGAGCGCCACCTATTGAATTCCATGATAAATTTAAATCACTCAAAACCTTGTTCTCTCCTAAACGATTGAGAAAGTTGTATAGTCCTCCTGGAGTGTACAGGCTGTTCCAAGACAAGTCAATTTTAGTGAATTTATTGAAAGTCTCAAATACTTCAGTTAAACAATTTAGACCTTTTCCTGTAATATTATTGTAACTTAGAGATATCTCTTGAACAGCAATGTTATTAAAAATTGCAGTAGAGAGATATTCCATTCCTTGATCAGTAAGATCATTTTTATCAAGATTCAACACACGCAGACTTCGGTTCGTCATTAAGCCGTTTAGTATACGTTTTGCACCAGATGGTCCGATTTTGCATCCGGATAAATTTAATTCAACTAGAGTATAGTTATTCGACAGCATATCTCCTAAATGGAAGCATGCGTCAACATCCAAAAAGTTTGCTGTTAAGTTGAAAACTTTAACAGTCTTATTGTAGCGTAAAGCCAAAGACATCGCCCGAACTCCCTTAAAGCTGACGCAATAATAACGCAAATCTATAACTTCTTTATGAAGGCCACTAATAAAAGACTTTATGGGTGCTTCGTCCATTTCTTTGCAGATTTGTAAATATAATTCTTCACCATCATCAGGATATATATATTTTACTTCAGGATAAAGCAGTGCTTTCTCTATTCCTGGATCTGTGACAGCTGGATAATTGTAGTACGGGTGTCTAAAGACATCGCTGTCGGATAAAGAGATATATTTACCGCATATTTCCCCACTCCCTGGATGGTATAGACCTAACTTGAATGTAAAGCGTTTTTGGTTTTCCTCTGATTCTATGACCAAAGAAGACCATTCATCCATAGGAGCTTCCTCCGAACTCACATCGACTTCATTCACAAAGATCACCTCAGTTATCTCTTCTGAATTTATGCAGCTTTCATTAGACATTTTTATAAAAATTATCAAAAGCCTAAATATTTATAATTTTTTATTTTGCAGTTATGACATTCAATACTTCACAAAATGACAAAAAGAGCATACCTCGATCATAGATAGCCGTTGTTAGAAATCATACTCATGGTACACAGTTTTTGTACGTTTACTAAATAAACTGTTTTATATGGTCTCTATTAATCATTTCACGGTTAAAATATTATGGGTATCTAATGTTAAAAACAATAATGAAGTGCTACAAATACTTTATTATAGTATAAATGATATTTTCTAGATTTCAAAACGTTTTGAAATAGACTATTAAAGTCAAAGACTTTAATGGTACTATGATTACGAGCTGCATCGAATGCACAGGCGCACGCAACGCTTTACGATGCTTTAATTATTGCGGTCTCGCAAAGGGATGGAACTCTAAAGTAATTGCCTTAATATATATCATCAGCAGTTAAACTTTCTTCAATAAACGAAGAAAAGCGTCCTAAAGCAAGTTTAAATTTACAGTAATGAATAGGCGTTTTAATTCGTTATTAACGTAAGGAATGATTATTGGAATTATTATCCCAAGAAAATTAAAGGTGTTATTGCCTTCTAATTAAATATAAATTAAGGTTTCTTCGTCGTTAGATAGAAACGTTATGTCTCAACAGCGGCATTTGATAAGTGGAACGCAAACATAACGAGTTGTTTCTTTTAGAAGTAATAAAACGTAAATCTAATCGGATAATGAGATCAGCACGCGCTCGCATCCTGACGCGTCTACTGTCAATTGTTTCAAGTCGACGCGTGAGATGGCCGCGGCTGCCTCAGCGACCCCGCGACCTCTGCTCCAGGCTCCAGGCCATTTGTAATGGAGCACTTGGTCGTAGTTAAGCGCGTGGAAGCAAAACGTAGTTCACAATGTATATTAAACAATGTATAACTTAAAGAGTAAAACTTTTACTTAGCAATTTTTCTAAAAGTAGGAGTAGAACAAAAACTTAAGTCCATTTTGCATTTATTACGTTTATCTTCTTGCGATTCTGTTCTATTTGACAATATCATTGAAAAAAATAAATTCAAATTTGTCAGTCAGTCCAAAGATGAGCTAGATGATGAACTTTTAATTCTTGTGATGTTTATTTCAGTCAAAGCAACATATAGTAAGTTCTGCATTACTTGGTCTCTACAGTATGTCTACATTCACCTGAGATGCTAAGTTATCTAGAAATAGCTTTCGCAGAGGGTTGAGTGAAAGTGCTGCCTCAGGGCGAGGAGCGGCCAAGGTCGTCGCTGGTGCGTCGATGGCTCTAATTGATCAAGCATGAAAACCGTTCGTTAGAAGCCCCATAAATCCAAGATGATGTCCGCGATATCTTCGTGGAAGGAATAACATTACACAGTGAAATTGATGATATTTATTTACATGGAGTAGGTAAGTGGAAAATAGAGAATGCCGCGACATAAACAGTTAACAAGGCTCAGCGGTATCTATCCACATTAGTTAACAGAATTTCATACTGTTAATAATAATAAATATAGATTTTTTATTGCTTTTTTTTCACGTTTGTTTTGATAAACACATAATATTAAGAATGAAGAGCTCTTAACGTAATATACCCGTATGGTATTGAATTCAATGAATTTTGTTTTAATTTGCGGATCTTAAGAGACGGATGGCATAAATGTGAACAGTCAACAAACAAATGAAAAACAAATGAATGTGTGTGTGAAAACAATTACAAAAACAGTTAAGCAATACCGATTGTTGACGGTCTGGTTTATCGTATGTGTGTCATTGGATACAAGTTTAGGGAAAAATCTTTCATTAATATGTAATGGGCGACTAAAGCCTTAAAATAGAGGTTTAAAAAAATGAATATTTAGTCCAACGATATATTTTTCATTTCTACGCAAGAGCCGATGCTCATCAGCATACTGACTCCACCCTGATTTAACTGGCGACCTCAATCGGTGCATTATCTACACAATCACAAATTGGTCACACTTCCAAACGCGTAAGTCTTGATTCAAGATCCAACCGCTCATGACTGATTGCGGCTCGATAATCTGTAAAGATAATAACTCGGTATATGTATATCTTACTTAGCCTTAGCTAATCCAACAAAATTCTTGTATATTTCACATTCAAAAAGAATTCGTCATCTTCTGTGAGGTCCCAAATTATATCTACACTAATAATCCAGGTAGTCGATCATCAAGTTAAATGTTGGTTTCGACCGATACTGTTAATAGCAACGGAACGGTATTTTCCCACAATATCTGCTCTTGACTAATCGAAACAGTTATGTTAATTGTGAGAAAGCATGAAAAATGTAAGTGTAGGGAACCTCCCATTGAAGTTCAAAAGCTACGTCGGGATAATTCCTTCTATTGGCAGTTGACCCCAGGCCGCAATCGTTTTCCGATGAGCACCCACCGTTGACAGCTTTCTCCGCCGCAAAGGCATGCTGTCGAATACAAATGGCTGCCAATGAGCTGTAGGGCTGATGGAAAAGGGTCAGGAAGCTCTCGCCGAATTTGGTCCGCTGAGAAACCGATTATGAACGAACAGAATTTTATCTCACGATTCTAGCATACGCGTCTGTTGTTTGCATTGGTAAAAATAAAGGGATTAATAGAGATTTATTTCGATAAATATCTATTGATTTCTATTGATTTTAATAAGTTTGTCTCTACGTCGAACGAGTTTGAGTTTCATGTTTTTTATCAAATCTCCGAACTCTAAGTTCTATCTGAATTCAAAAGAATAAATAAAAGCGAAACAATTTATACGTATAAATTTTTATTCCTAAAGAAACCGAAATTTCAAGTATAAGAATATTTTACGAATAAAATAACTCACAAGTTAATACAATAACAAGGTCTACATAATCTTAAAAAATAAAAAGACTTTTAATTTAGTTTTAGATTAGTGTCTATTTTTACACACATTTCCTGTGCACGTGCTGTTGGCTCGTGGGAAAGTAGCCGGTGCGGTTATTCGCAATCATTATTAACAGAATTGTCTGGTCAATAGCATCGATTATCACTACATCGAGATAAAAGCTTTATGCATTGTAATCGATTCTGGGTGCGCCTGCGTCTAATTGTTTAGCTGCTTTGTGTTGAGATAGCTTTAAAAGGCCAAATTTTTGGCACCTGGCTTGGAATGTAGCGAGTGTGGTTGGTGAGTAATATTGTGTTCATGTAGGAAGTAGATTATTGTTAACGCTGTAATGGAAGTCTTGCAGATAGATTACAATATTCAAATAGTGACTTGAAACAAAATTATGAAAGGATTGAATAGATAGATATGAAAGTTTCAAATGTTTGTTCAATCTATCAATCGAGAAGTGGAAATGGCGTCGGAGTTGTCACAATCAGTTGTCTACGGTCCTAAACCACATTCCCGGCAGGGTCAATATTAAAAGTAGACTTTGCTGGATTGTCGCAGCCACATCACCAAAATCAAATCCTTTTTTTTCTAGAAGAGTCTTGACGCCTTCTTTCGTCACCGGGAGCATGCTATGAGGATAAACCAGAAAATTCTCCTGCACCGGTCACCAGGCACGCTATTCCGAGGACCGCAGTCCCGGAAGTGAATGTCGAGAATATGGGTTGAAACCGCAGGAACGAAGTGCTCCACGACATGCGAGGCTCCGAAGCAACAGGGGCACCACACATCACAGGAACCGTGCAATGCAGACTAGCGCTACCAAAATCAGATCTTGCGGCATTACCGTTGAATCTGAATCTGGTAACGAATTTTTCTGAATCCTATTTGAATGAAAGAGTACAAATTTTAGTCGATTAGTAGTAATCAGAGAAATAGTTCATGCTTAGAATATGTTGTGCAATGATTACATCTATAGATCCTTCAGTTGACGTTGGTTTTTATTTATCTATACTGAATCCTACAGTTTTGTACAGATTTATAATACCGACATTTGACTCAACATTAATTTATTGCTTAACATTTTTAGCCCTTCTGGAGTAAATAATAAAAAAGTTTACAACTAAACTTACAAGATAAAGATGATAGCCTATATCAACCCTATAAGATTATGTTGGAATAACAAATTGCACATTACCAAAGGACTTCATCATCAGACACGGAGATGTTTAGCTCACAAATAGCCGGCTACTAGAGCAACTCTAATCGCTATAAATCGCGAACGTAAGCGCAACTCCATAACTCAGCGGCGCGCCCGTCGACAACAGCGCCCTTCATAGGCCGACACGGCTGGTTTCGGTACTATTTGATTTAGAGAAATGGAAAGGCGTGGCGAAACAGCATTGTTTTCACTTTAAAATTTACTGAACCTAGATAAACTATATTTGGTCTGATAATGAAAGCTGCCGTTTAAGATGAAAGTGCGGCTGACAGTCGAGAATGAATGTTTACGGAACTACTTACTGCATTAAGTAAACCAATCAAATAGCATAGATTTTGCTGTGAACAGTCTAAAAGAGAACTTCATGACCGATGCAGCAGACATTATTGTAAACTATTCGTCAGAATCGATTAATAATAAATCGAAAACATCTCATTATTTCTGTGAGGTTTCCAGAGAAACATTTCGTTGAAAACAAAGCAAAATTTTAAAGGGCTCAGTGCATACTGCATACGTTAGTGATGTAAACATTGATAGCATAAACAAAAACAATATAACCGGTTTTTCGGGAGGGGCTAAAATGTAAGAGTGGACAAAAAAAGAAACGTGCGGTAGCGTAGATGTCAGATCGTGAGTTGCCCGAATCGAGAACGAAAAGATCGAGCACCAGACAAAATACAAAATAATGTTAATTGCTCACTCGTAGCCGTAGCACGCGCGTGCGCACCGGTCGAAATGAAAATAAAAACAGGACGACAACCGTAAAAGGACTTTGAAAAAAGCAAGAAGTGGCCGTAGGAATTCATGAATAAAAATACCGGGCCAAAAACATAATGACGCCAATTAAGGAGTGGACTTCCAAGTGTCTAAACTTCCAAGTTCGACGGCCGTAGTGCCTACGCAGAACACAGGGTAATTAACGCAGCAGAGCTGCCAATCAACACACCGAATTATATATTATTCCTTTTTTTAATAATAAAAAAGAACGT